CTCCCACCTCAACCTCCAGAGTGGCGGGGACTACAGGTGCACATCACCACCCCTGGCTAATTTTTGCATAATTTGTAGAGACGGGGGTGGGGGCAGCCTCCCTATGTTGCACAGGCTGTTCTTGAACTCCTGGCCTCAAGTGATCTGCCAGCCTCAGCCTCCAAAAGTGCTGGGATTAGTGGCGTGAGCCACCACACCCAGCCTGCAACAGTTCTGCTGCAAGAGGCCGAACTTTCATGCCGACCGCACCCCACCCATGACGCAGTGGTCCTGGCTGTCCGGGAGACGCCTGCCCTCCAGACTCTGGGACACAGAGGCAGTCCTCTCAGAATGGGCAGAAGGAAGACGAGACCTGTAGTCCCCAGGGTGCCACCACCCCGTTAACACCCTTAACCAGCCCTGCGAGATAAAAGCAACATCCGCAGATCGAACGCCTTCATCTCTGTGTACTGGATGCCCGCTCTGCCCAGCAGGTGCCCACGTCAACTTGAAAGCCTCCAACAGTCTTGGAGTTGTGGGCACGGGGGAAATGAGGGGCCAGGCTCAGGCGGGTAACCGCGGTGACAAACGCCCGGACTCTGGAGCGACGGCCCCACTCTCGGTCGGTGCTGCAAGCCTGGGATCCCTCTGCACTCCTCCGTTTCACACCCCGTGTCCAGCAGGTCCAAAAATACTCTCGGGTCTGCTTGCAGATTCTTTAGAATCCAGTCACTTGTGGCCGGGCGCGGCGGCTCACGCCCGTAATCCCAGCACTGACAAGGATGTGACGATCCCGGCTCATGATTCGCTGCTGGTATGGCTGTCTTGGGACAGACGCGGTGGAAAAACAGCTTGGCGGCTTCTTAAAAAATCTAAACATAGGCTGGGCGTGGCGGCTCACACCTGTAATCCCAGCACTGTGGGAGGCCGAGGCGGGCAGATCACCTGAGGCCAGCAGTTCGAGACCAGCCTGGCCAACGTGGTGAAACCTCATCTCTACTATAAATACAAAATTAGCTGGGCGTGGTGGGGGGGCACCTGTAATCCCAGCTACTCAGGAGGCTGAGGCAGGAGAGTCGCTTGAACCCGGGAGGCGGAGGCTGCAGTGAGCCGAGAGGGCGCTACTGCCCTCCAGCCTGCGCAACAAAAGCAAAACTCCATTTCCAAAAAAGAATCCAGTCACTTGTCACCCATGACCCCTGGCCCAGCCAACGTCCCCTGCCCTCAGCCTGGGTTGTCCCCGACCCCCGCCATCCCCAGGCTCCCTCCAGTCATGGCCCACAGAGTAGCCACATCTCAGGGCTCCCGCCTCACCTACTCCAAGTAAAGCCAAAGTTTGCAGGAGGCCCCCTCCACCCCTCCACCCTTCCGCCCCGCCACCCCATCACCCCTCCACCCCGCCACCCCTCCACCCCGCCACCCCATCACCCCTCCACCCCGCCACCCCTCCACCCCGCCACCCCATCACCCCTCCACCCCGCCACCCCTCCACCCTTCCGCCCCGCCACCCCGTCACCCCTCCACCCCGCCACCCCATCACCCCTCCACCCCGCCACCCCTCCACCCTTCCACCCCGCCACCCCGTCACCCCTCCACCCCGCCACCCCATCACCCCTCCACCCCGCCACCCCTCCACCCTTCCGCCCCGCCACCCCTCCACCCCGCCACCCCTCCACCCCTCCACCCCTCCACCCTTCCGCCCCACCACCCCACCACCCCGTCACCCCTCCACCCCGTCACCCCTCCACCCCGCCACCCCGTCACCCCTCCACCCCACCACCCCGTCACCCCTCCACCCCGTCACCCCCTCCACCCCGCCACCCCGTCACCCCTCCACCCCTCCACCCCTCCGCCCCGCCACCCCGCCACCCCTCCACCCTTCCGCCCCGCCACCCCTCCACCCTTCCACCCCGCCACCCCGTCACCCCTCCACCCCGCCACCCCTACGCAGCCTCAGCGCTCCCTCCCTCACCTCCCCATTGTGACCGACCTGAGGGGAAGAGCCGGATCATGGAGCATCTTATAGACTCCACAAGGACCAGGCTTTTTCCTGAACAAGATGCAGCTGCTGGCATGGGACTCGGGCGTTAAAGGTGGCGGGTGCTGTGGCGGGGGGCCCGTAGCCGGAGGTACGGGGTGGCAGGAAGACCTGTTGGGGATGTTGCGACAATCCAAGAAAGCCATGAGGCCGGCTCAGAGCAGGACGAAGACCACTGCAGGCAGGAAGGCAGGGCCCGATCCTGGCCGTATTTCGCAGATGGATTTGCAGTTGGGTCACCCATGGATGTTAGGGGCAGAGAGACAGCAAGGATGACCCCCGGATTTTTGGTCTGAGCCACTGGAAAGTTAGAACAGGTCTCGGGGGGACATCAGAGGTGGAGGGGGCCCTGGGAGTCCAGACACCCAGGGGGGGACAGGGAGCTGGCAACTGGATACTGAGAGTTGAGGAGTCCAGGGAGGGGGCGGGGCTGGAGACAGATTCAAGGGCTGCCAAGGGCCTGTGACCCGGGCAGTCGGAGGGGCTCCCAGGGAGGAGGGAGAGGGGGAGAGCAGTGGCCTGAGGGCGGGGCCTGGGGGGCGTGCCTGTGGCCTGGAGGTCAAGGAGACGGGAAAAGCCCCCGCAGGAAGCAGCCAGGGAGTGGCCAGAGCCAGGCAGTGAGTTGTGCAGGCTGGTGGTTTGTGATTCAAAGCCAGGGGTCAGGGAGGTGGGGAGAATGATCGGAGAAGGAGCCGCGGTGAGAGGAACCTTGTCCCAGCTCCGGGCCCGGAAAAGGGGGCGCGGGGGAGGAAAGGAGTCCCGTCCAGGGCTGCCAGGCACGCAGGGTCTTCAGGGACAGTGCGTGACGGATGAAGAGGGAGTCAAGAGAAGAGGGGGAACATCAAGAATTTTGCCGATGAAAACACGGGCAGCGCCAGTGAATGAGAGAAGGAATGATGGACCACAAGTTTGCAAAATGAACCAGGAGTACCCAGCCCTCCCCGGCCGGCCGCGCCCAGCCCCCGCCTTTCCCGGTCCCCGGAGCCCCTGGGATGGAGCCTGCTGTCATTTAGGCCGTTTCTTCCTGGTTGTTACCCCTACACCGGTGCTTGCAGCTTCTCCTAGGAGACCACCACAGGATGACGCAAATGTCGCCCGGCTCCGCGGCGGAAGCAATCACCGCGGCTGTTTGCGTGGAACTGCTCAGCCGTCGCTCTGCCCGCTGCCTAATGGAGCAGCCCTTTCACCAGGGCCATTTAACAGCCGGGCTGACATTTATACGGCAGGCAGTTCGCAGCGAGGAGACGGGTCTTGCGTTCCTGACAGCTTCCCGCCCGCCACGGGCACGGTCACGCCTGAGGGCCGGTCATCTCTCCTTGCCAGAAGTCCGGGCAGTGGGGGCGGGGGAGCCCGCAGCTCGGGGTGCAGGAGGGTGCCTGGGAAGCTTCTGGCGGGGGATCACAATTCCGTCACCATCCAGCATGAGTCCTGCTCTTCCTCCCACGGATCAGCAGCTCGTGGCTCTGAAACACACTCTTGCATTTACCCTCTACTGTGATCACAGAGAGGACAGTGTGGTCCCTGTCCCTCCGTCCCTTAGGGTGGATACCCCAGAGGCGTTTGCAGCTGCTCCCCGGAGAGTCCTGGGATACTCGCCTCGGGGATGAAGTGAGAAGCTTGTTCCCCTGTTCTGACCGGCCCCGGCCCTGGCTTACTAACAGGTGGGGTTGCTGGCCCCGATTGTGGGAACTGACCCCCTTAGCCCTGGACCCCAGCCTGTAGCTGCCCGGACAAGCACAGCAAAATGACACCCCGAGAGCCTGAGAGAACAAAGCTGATTCTTTGGCCCCATTAGCTCAGGACCCAGTGCACCTTCTCCACCGTCACACCCACCAGAGGGGCACCAAATCCCACCCCTTCGGCAGCATCTGGCCAGCTTTGGTGGACAATGAGCAGTGCCTGGGATGGTGCCCACTGCAGGCCCACAATGGTGGCCCGTGTGACTTTAGTGTGGTCACCAGCCACTGCAGCAGCACAGGGCAGCCGTCTAGTGACAGCCACCCAGTGACAACCGCCCCTCCCATGGAAGTCGCAGATGCAAAGGCCCCCAGGACAAAGGCTGAGACAGCCACTTGGGCCTCGCTCTTCCCTGGCTGGCTCCATCCAGTGAGAGGCTGGCATCAGGTGAAGCTGGGGACAAGTGGGGCCCCAGGAGCCAAGAGGGTCAGGCCTGGAGGGCACAGGCCTCCCACCCAGGAAGCTCAGCCCAGCAGCGTGGGAGCAGTACTGCCCAGAGAGGGAGTGGGCCTGGCCTGGGGACACACAGCCGACTTGAGGCAGGCTGGGACCGAGAGCACTCAGGCTGGGGGAGGGAGGGCCTGTGTGCTCGGGAAGGGTCAGGAGGCCGAGGGCTTGGGTGAGGGAAGCACGGACTGTGAGCTCATTCAACCTTCGCGTCAGCCCAGTCCCCAGATGAGCAGGCTGAGGCTGGAGTCAAGTGGCTTGCCTGACTCAGTGGCCCAGGACCCGGGTTCGAGCGCGTGCCCAGCCCCCCACTGCCGTCCATCGTCCATCCACCCGCACCTGGCCTGCATTCCCAGCTCTGGGCTCCTTCCGACAGGGGTCAGGAACCATCCGTGCTCACCCCACCCAGGCCCCACACCGGCCCCTCCGGGGTCATCAGAACAGGCAAAGGTGCTTCTTCCAAAGGAGGCCATGGGCTTCCAGGCCACCAGGTCACATCAACCCAAAGGGGCCCTGAGCAGGGTGTGCAGGCCCCCACCAGGACACCCCTCTGCATCGGCCCCCGGCCGAGTCGCCTCACCCCTCCCAGCTCACTCCCCCACCCACCTGGAGGACGGGGACTCGGAGAACCCAGGCCCAGGACCTTGTGAGGACTGGATGGGCCGCATTGAGAAATGCCAGGTGCGGGGCAGATGTGGGGGGTTGTTCCCAGGACTGCGCGGTTGCCATGGCGACGGCCGCTCTGTGTGTTTAGCGGGTAAACATTCCCAAGCCACCCGAGCAGCTGTTCCCATCTCATCTGACATCTCGAAGCAGGCGCGGCGGTGACGGGAAGGTGGACACGGGGCGGGCTGAGTGCTGGGCGCCCCGGCCCGTCCCGTCCCGTCCCGGGGAGGCTGTCGAAGGCCGCCCGCTCCGGAGCACGCTGGGCAGTGGCCCTGCTGGTCGCTGCTGTCCGGAACCTTCCCCCGGGACTGGAACTCGCCCTGTTCAGTGCTGCTTAGACTCAGACGCAATCCCTCCCCACGACTCCAGCTCCGCTTAGGACAGAATGTCTCCTCCGGGTCTCCTGGGGCCACAAGGTGCCACAGCCCCTGTCCCTCAGGGAGAGGAGCCCGCCCCTGCGGGAACTGAGGGAACGGGGTCGTGACAGCACAGCGAGCTCAGGGCTGGGGGGGACACCAGGCTCTCCAGGGCCCTGCCTGTGGAAGCTTCCAGATCCTGGGTTTACGGGGAAACAGCCGCCAAGAGGGAGCACGTCAGACCCTACAAAGTGCAGCCCCCCGCTCGCCGCCCTGCGTCCTCCCCCGGCTTCGCTGCCGTAGGGAAGGGATAATTCCCGCTCTGCCAAGCTGTGGTGCAGGTGAGACCGCAGCCCTCAAAGGCACCAGCCTACTGCCGGCCCCGGTCCCTGCCAACACAGCGGCCGGACGAAGGTGGCTCTGTGACTCCTGCGAGGCCGGGGACGGGGGGACGCATCGCTAAGCCCGTTTCGTAGACTCGGTAATTCATGGGTTCCAGAAATGCCCACGGAGCCCTGCCACGTGTCAGGCCTTCCAGGTAGGCCCCGAAGACTCCGCCGCGAGCGGCCAGCCCCGCCCCGTGGGGACAGAGGCAGCGGGGACAGCTGCACACACTCACGACCGGACGCCAGAGGGACGTCGGGACACCGTGGACTGTGAGTGTCTAAGCCAAGCTCAGGGGAGCCCTAAAGAGAAAAAACGAGAGAAAAAGAAGGAGAGGAAGAGGCTGCTAAGAAAAGGAGGAGGAGGGGGGAGGGGGAGGAGGGAGGAGGGGGGGGGGAGGAGGGGGGGAGGAGGGAGGAGGGAGGAGGGAGGAGGGAGGGGAGGAGGGGAGGAGGAGGGAGGGGGAAGGAGGAGGGAGGGGGAAGGAGGGGGGAGGGGGGAAGGAGGGGAGGAGGGGAGGGGGGAGGAGGGGAGGAGGAGGGGGGAAGGAGGGGAGGAGGGAGGGGGGAAGGAGGGGAGGAGGGAGGGGGAAGGAGGGGAGGAGGGGAGGGGGGAAGGGGGAGAAGGAGGGAGGGGGAAGGGGAGGAGGAGGGAGGGGAGGAGGAGGGAGGGGAGAAGGGGACGAGGGAGGAGAAGAAGAAAGGCAGGTTCCCAGAATCTTCATATTTCCAAGGTGAGCTTATCTTTGGACCCGAGGCCCAGCCATCCCCCTGGGAAGCAGTATGGGGAGCTAAGAAGCCTGAGAGGGGGTTCTGTGAGTACTGGGGGACACTCAGGCATTTTCCACCACCCCTGGCCACGGGGAAGGTGAAGGGGTCCCTCACCTTGACCTCAGCCTGCTGAGAAGGCATGATGTGCTCCTCGCAGCTTGGGGGGCACAGGAGGTACCAAGACCCTAGGGAGGTGCTGTCGCCCGGGGAACAGCAAATCCTGGGGTGGAGCCAGTGGGGTGGGGAGAAGGCCCTGGGAGGGTGAGGAGGCCAGGAGCCGGAGATCAGGCCCTGAGGCCCCCAGAGACCACAGCCAGGGCTCGGGAGCAGCTGGAGAGCACAGAGGCCACGGGCAGGGCCGGCCGCTCTGACCCCGGCCGCTCTGACCCCTGTGTGGAGGAGACAGCCGGGGTTAAGGGTGGCACGAGAGTCCCCTGCAGTGAGCCCAGTGTGGCCACGCGGAGGCTGAGCAGTGGCTCCCCTGGGGTATTCCGAAGCCCCGACCCATGGCACATGGAGGCCCAGGGAGGGGACATGGCCGCCCTCCACTCCTGGATGCTCTTTTCCAGATGAGTGGGACTCAGGCTGCACACCCTGGCGAAGACAGGACTCTCCTGCCGGCCTATCTGCAAATTGTGTTTTAATTAGTTGGAAATGATCAGGTCTGCAGCTTCAAAGCCCCGAAGGCTTTGATTCCCGCCTCTCATGGAAAAACACCAAGTGTCTGTGAATTAGAGCAGGAAGCGGGAGGCAAGCGGGGTTCCAGGGGCACCCAGGCCCGGGCAGCTCCAGGGCTCAGGGCATCCTCCAGGCTTGGCCTGGCCTTGGCTGGGGAGCGTCCAGCTTTCCTGGTTCCTGGCCTCCGAATCTGGTGGGACTTTTGCCTTTTGAAACACAGCACAAGCTGAATGGGGGAGTCCCAGCCCCCAGCAGGCGCGGGCGTTTACTGCAGGCGTCCGCGGGAGTCTACACTAAGGACTGTCCCAGAGTGTTGGAGAGGAAAGCCACACCCAGCCCTGGCCTTGTGGAGCCTGTAACTCAGTGCAAGGGACAGAGGAACACACTAATGTCACAGAATCCCCACCATGGTGAGTCCCACAGGGATGGTCGGGGCCTCCCGGAGAGCAGCCTTGACGGAGCGGCCGGGGCTCTCTGAGGAGGAGGCCTCTCCGCTGAGACCTGAAGGCTCAGAGAACACGCCACAGCAGCAGGCGGTCACACGCGTGCGCCAGGGCATCCGCAGAGCCGGGTCACACAGGCCAACGCTTCATTCCGCAAAGGGTGTGCGTCCCTACTCGCCTTCTCGTGGTGATCTTGTGGGGAACGTGGTTTTTTTTGGCTTGGTTTTTGAGATGGAGTCTTGCTTTGTTGCCCAGGCTGGAGTGCAGTGGCGTGATCTCAGCTCACTGCAACCTCCACCTCCTGGGTTCAAGCAATCCTCCTGCCTCAGCCTCCCGAGTAGCTGGAATTACAGGCTCGTGCCACCACTCCCGGCTAATATTTTGTATTTTTGGTAGAGACGGGTTTCAGCATGTTTGCCAGGCTGGTCTCTAACTCCGGACCTCAGGCGATCTGCCCACCTTGGCCTCCCAAAGTGCTGGGATTAGGGGCGTGAGCCACTGCCTCTGGCTGGGAATGTGTTTTTAATCCCCATTTTACAGATAAGAAAAGTCAAGGCTCTGGGAGGCGAAACGACCCCCACAAAGCTCGGCACGGGACCCACTCCCAGGCGTGCGTCACTCTGCGTGGAAACAGCACGCTCTCTCCAGGGACCCCAGGCTTAGCCCAAAAGGGGGTTTCTCTTCCTCCCTCTTGGCCACTTGGAGAAGCACCAGCTCAGCCCGGCCGGGGCCGGGAGGAGGACAAGCGTGTCCGGCCACCTCCTTTCTCTGGGGCACCCGCAGCAGCCCCTGGCCAGCCTCCCTGTGTCTGCTCAACCTGACCCACGGCCGTGGGGAGGGTTTTCTCCAAACAGAAGCGCTGCTGGCCACGTCATTGAGCTGAACAGAGGCGTCGCCCCCTCTGCTCACACACTGCGGGAACCTGGCCACATTGTGTCCCGTTTCCTGCACTAGGGAACTAACCACCCAAACTCCACAGCCTCACACCGCCCTCGTGAGCTCCCAGCCAGGCAGGCCGAAAGCCCGACCTCAGGGTCTCAACGAGGCTAAAACGAACCAGGTGCAGTAGCCCACGCCTGGAATCCCAGCACTTTGGGAGGCTGAGGTGGGAGGATCACTTGATGCCAGAAGTTCAAGACCAGCCTGGGCAACACAGCAAGACCCCACCTCTACAAAAAATAAAAAATTATCCGGGCCTGGTGGTGCGTGCCTGTGGTCCCAGCTACTCGGGAAGCGGAGGCTGCGGTGAGCTATGGTCACGCCACTGCCCTCCAGCCTGGGCGACAGAGCCAGACACTGTCTCTAAATAAATCAATCAGTCAATCAGAGGATGAGGATGATGATGATGGCGACGAATTAAGGCTAAAATCAAGGTGTCTTCCCCCCGCGTTCTCATCTGGGGCTCAGGGGCCTGTTCCAGCCTCAGCTGTGGCCGAATCCACGTCCCGCAGGCGTGGAACTCAGGCTCGGCTTCCTGCTGGCCACAGCCTCCCTGGGCTGCGAAGGCGCCAGCGCTCTGCCCTGTGGCCTCTGCGTCTTCAAAGCCAGCAGTGCAGACGCTCCGACACCCAAACGCTCCCGCACTTGGAATCTGTCCCACCACGAGAAGCCCAGGCCCTTCCGGGCTCGCCCGCTCAGGCCAGGCCCACCACGACGAGGCGGCCTTCGGTGCTTCAGACGGGGTCTCGGTCCGCCACGCAGGCTCACTGCAGCCTCGACTTCCCGGGCTCAAGACACCCTCCTGCTTCAACCTCTTGAGTTTCTGGTACTACAGGCGGGCACCACCATGCCCGGCTGATTTTTTAATTTTTCTGTGGCGATGGGGTCTCGCCGTTTGCCCGGGCTGGCCTCAGACTCCTGAGCTCAGCAATCGCACCGCCCCAGCCGCCCCACGTGCGGGGACTCCAGGCGCGGCCGGAACGTCGTCTCCCGAGGGCAACTGACCGGGATCTTAACCACGTCTGCAAACCGCCCTCGCCAGCGCCCAGGTCTGCAGCTGACGAACAAACTGGGAGCAGGACGTGTCCCCCAGGGCCGGAAATGTGGGGGCCGCGTCAGCATCCCGCCCAGCACGACCCCCACAGAGGGGACGCGAGCCCCCCAAGCTGGGATTACAGGAGCCGCCACCGCGCCCGGCTAAGTTTTGTGTTTTCAGTAGAGACGGGTGTAAGTAACGCTGGTGGCCTCGCCGGGGTTCCAACGCGCCCACCTCCCTCCCGCGTGAAAATCACTTATCAGAATATGCCCATCATCGGGCCCCGCCTGGGAAATCCCCTCTGCACCCGGCACCCAGCCCCGCCCTGGAAATCCCCTCTGCACCCGGCACCCAGACCCGCCCTGGAAATCCCCTCTGCACCCGGCACTCAGCCCCGCCCTGGAAATCCCCTCTGCACCCGGCACCCAGACCCGCCCTGGAAATCCCCTCTGCACCCGGCACCCAGCCCCGCCCTGGAAATCCCCTCTGCACTCGGCACCCAGCCCCGCCCTGGAAATCCCCTCTGCACCCGGCACCCAGACCCGCCCTGGAAATCCCCTCTGCACCCGGCACCCAGCCCCGCCCTGGAAATCCCCTCTGCACCCGGCACCCAGCCCCGCCCTGGAAATCCCCTCTGCACCCGGCACCCAGCCCCGCCCTGGAAATCCCCTCTGCACACGGCACCCAGCCCCGCCCTGGAAATCCCCTCTGCACTCGGCACCCAGCCCCGCCCTGGAAATCCCCTCTGCACTCGGCACCCAGCCCCGCCCTGGAAATCCCCTCTGCACACGGCACCCAGCCCCGCCCTGGGAAATCCCCTCTGCACACGGCACCCAGCCCCGCCCTGGAAATCCCCTCTGCACCCGGCACCCAGACCCGCCCCTAGAAATCCCCTCTGCACACGGCACCCAGCCCCGCCCCTAGAAATCCCCTCTGCACACGGCACCCAGCCCCGCCCTGGAAATCCCCTCTGCACACGGCACCCAGCCCCGCCCCTAGAAATCCCCTCTGCACACGGCACCCAGCCCCGCCCTGGGAAATCCCCTCTGCACACGGCACCCAGCCCCGCCCTGGGAAATCCCCTCTGCACACGGCACCCAGCCCCCGCCCTGGGAAATCCCCTCTGCACTCGGCACCCAGCCCCGCCCTGGGAAATCCCCTCTGCACACGGCACCCAGCCCCGCCCTGGAAATCCCCTCTGCACTCGGCACTGAGCCCCGCCCTGGGAAATCCCCTCTGCACCCGGCACCCAGCCGCCTCTCCGGAAGTCCCACCTCCCTGCCGACGGCAGCTCACCCCGTCCACATCCTGTTTCTCCAAATCCAATCGGACGCCTTCACTCCCTGTAAACCCCACTCCACGACTTCCCCGGCCCCCCTCCGCGGAACCACAGAACCTCGCCCGGGAGCTGAATCGATTGGCATCTAATTTTCTTCTGCTGGCCTCAGTTTCCTTGTTTTAAACTCGGCAATAAACCTACAGAGAATAAACTTTACAATGCGGTTTTACCATGTTGGCCAGGCTGGTCTCAAACTCCTGACCTCGTGATCCGCACGCCTCGGCCCCCCAAAGTGCTGGGATGACAGTTGTGAGCCACCGCGCCCGGCCCCCTCGTTTCTTTTGAGGGGTGGGAGAAAGCAAGTCCCAGCGTTTAGAACGCTCTGGCGCTCTCAGCCGCCGCGAAGCCCCAGACCAGCGGGAAACGGTCCCTGCCGCTCCCGCCACGCGCCGGCCCTCGGCACGGCTGCTGCACAGCCCGCGCAGAACCTTCTCTAAGGCCTTTTTTAAATTTTTAAGACACAGTCTCACCCTGTTGCCAGGCTGGAGTGCAGTGGTGCTAACGCGGCTACTGCAGCCTTGACCTCCGAGGCCCAGCGGTCCTCCCACCTCAGCCTCCCGAGTAGCTGGGACGACAGAGCCACCACTAGACACAGCTAGTTTTTCATTTTCTGTAGATGGGGTTTCACCGTGTTGGCCAGGCTGCTCTCAGACTCCTGGGTTCAAGTGATTGTCCCACTTTGGCCTCCCAAAGTGCTGGGATGACAGGCGTGTGTCACCACGCCTGGCCAGTATTTTAAAATTATAATTATGACCAGGCGAGG